GCGCGCGCACGCCGCCTTCAACATGTTGTTAACTAGCAATCCACCCCGTATACGGATAATGCTATTTTTATGTTATTTTATTAGCATCGCCCCTAATCGCCATAGCCCCCTATATTCCCAGCCCCCAGTAGCCCCGAGTCCGAGTAGCCCCAACATAGGTTCAACATCAGCCTAAATCGGCACGGTGAAGCACACATCAACATCGACCCAAAAAAAACACAATGACGCTAAGTATCTTATTTAGATGAAGTCAAGGTGAAGGCAAGTTGAAGGTGATATCATATGGTATCCGCCCCGTATCCCCCGCCGATTTACCCCCGCACGGGGGTTAAACAAGGCGGGGGATGCGGGGCGCATGAGGAGAACAAATCTATGCATGATCCGACACTAACGATGGTTGAACGATATCTGACGCTGCGTTTGGCATGTTCCGGGCCACGGGAGGAGAAATTGAGAGCACTTCGCGGTAGGACGTCGGGGTCGGCGGTCCTAAAAAATTACTCCATGTCGTGCGAGGCGAAGCAGGGGCCGAAGACGCTCGTACGGGCGCTCCCGCGGCGCTGAGGGGACGGAGATGAGGGATCTTAGTTTCTGCGGATTCCCCCAGGGCATGGACTGAAGTTTCGGGACGTCCGACCCCGAGTTCCTACTGCGAAGTACTCTCATAATCTCCCCTCGAGACTCGCAACATACCAAACTCAGAGTCAAAAATCGTTCGAACATCGTACTGCAAGCGTTTGTGGTCCACAACTCGCTTAGGATACCTAGGATATGCGTCTCATTTTTGAAAGAGACCCAGGACGTCCGCTGAGCTCAGCGGAACCGAACGCACATATATACACCCCCACCAGGAATTAATCTCAGAGACTCAGGGGTCGACCGTGAACGGACCCCAATTGGCGTAAAAGCAGTTTCCGCCCTCTTGTCGACCTGCGGCGCGCTCGGGACAGGCGCGCCAGACCTCCCGCCCGTACAGACAACGCTAGCGTGCATATCGAACACAGGCCCCGCCCTGTGCTGGCGACACCCTCTAGTGGAGCTGCAGCGATTGAAGCGGCTTGAGTGCAAGTACGAGAATTGAGGCCCACTTATTTGTCGAGGCGGTCGCCAGGATCAAGGCGGTCGCCAGGATCATCGGTGCAAGTAGATCGGTGCAGAGGAGGCCGGTAAGACAATGGAAACATGGTGCACTGCAACGTTGTCAATGATTGTCCCCCTCCAGAAGGGATCGAGCAAACTGAGGAA